GAGCCCTGCCACATGATAAAAGATGCGAAGAAATGTGAACCAAGACGTGCGCTTAGGCAATGAGCCCTGCCGATCCACCTTACTTAAGTTCAACATGAGCATCATCAGAAGAGATATTACTCTCTCTAAAAATGCATTAAGATGTTCACCAATGAAAAGGGAAGAGATCTACACATCCGCATGTGACCAAATAAACCTTGATTGTATATGAAGCAGTTTCAAAACATGTTAGAAATTACACATAAAACACCTATAAAGAAAATAAAAGGAAAAATTGAAGAGATATTTCTACTATTGTGGAAATTTGACACATGCTATGATGTCAATATCACATTGCAACAAAAGCTCAGACTTTGTATATCAGCCAGCTATCATTTATAAATCCAATCCAGTAGCTATTTAGCAATGTAGCATATAGTGGGATGACCACTACAATGAAATTATAGGTAAAAGATATAAACCTAGTTTTAAATACTGGATGGCAGAGTGTAGCATCTGACCCCAAAAATGCTGAAGCAGGATGGCTGCTATTATGAATTTTTAATGTGTGTGTAGTGTGTGTTTTGATGAGGGGAGGAACACCCTGGCCAGTAAAGGCAACTGAACAAGATCTGGAAAACAAAGATCCTAACATCTACCAAAACTGAAAAACCGAATCAACAACTTGATTACTGTCTCTACGTGTGCCCTTCTAGGTGATAGACACAATCCCATTTAATTTGCAGGGAGGATCTGATGCACAAAGGAGTGGAAAGGATGCATAGGATTACAACCGTTCTTCAAATCCGGTAGCACTCAATGCCACTATAGCACACTATTGACTACTCTGATATCAGCTGACCTCTAACCTGCCAAAAATAAATAAATAAAGGTGGCCTAATGCAATAGGTTTGACAAGGGTCAAATGTACACAGCCTTAAACACCATGAGTGGAGAGGTGATTTCTATGACTAAACTCATGACCACCGGGTGACAACGGAAAGAGCAAAGTACATGGGGAATGATGTGATATCTTCAATAATCAGAATTTTCTTCACTCTTTTTTTCCAACATTTCTTCTCTTAATATCCCAAAAAAAAAAACAAATAGAAAATGAAACAAAGCAAAAAGGAGAAAGAAACTTAATTGATAATTATCACTTTACATTCTGTTGTGATTCAGGAATTGCGTGTATTATTGTACACATACCAATCTTATTTATAGAGTGAATACAATAAATGATAGAGATACTAATCTCTAATATTATGGAAATTAATCTAATCATATCCCTAATTGATAGTAAGGATGATAACCATAATATATGTATCACAATATCTGTAATATATTCACAATATTTGTAACACTCCCCCTCAAGTTGGAGCATATATATCATATGCACCAAGCTTGTTACAAATGTAATCAATCCGAGGTCCTTTAAATGACTTTGTGAACACATCTGCTAACTGGTCACTAAAGCGGCTGTCGGAGGCAGCGACCAGAGGCGGCGAGTGGAAGTGGCACTCGGAGGTGGCAACCGGAAGCAGCGGTTGTAGGCGACGACCGGAAGAGGCAGTCGGAGTTGGTGACCATAAGCGGCGGTCGGAGTTGGTGACTGGAAGCAGCGGTTGGAGTCAACGACCGAAGGCGACAGTTGGAGTCAGCAACCGGAGTCAGCGACCGAAGGCAGCGACCAAAAGTGACAGTCAGAGTTGGCGACCGGAAGCGGCGGTCAGAGGCGGCAACCGGAAGCGACAACTTGAAGCGACCACTGGAAGCAACGATTGGAAGCGACAGTCAGAGACAGCTATCAAAAGCGGCAGTCGGAGTCGGCGACCTGAAGCGAGTTCGAAGGCAACGGTCGTCGGTGGCGTGGCGACCGTGGCCGCGACTAGAGGTGGCGGTCAGAGGCGACGGTCAACGGCACGGCGACCAAAGGCGGCGGTTGCCGGCGCGACGACCCGAGGCAACGACCAGAGGCGACGGTGTGACGACCCGAGGTGGCGG